CATGCGTCGGAACTCTAAATTGGACCGAGAATACAATGCTCGGACCTATTCCTAACTTTGATTGATCGTGAAAGAAGAAAAAAAGTGGTGAAACACCAAACTTATTTCCATAATTACCACCAGGCAATTTGGGATTTGAGACACTCCCGCCCGACTGACGGAGCCGGTCTGGGCCAGAGCAGAGTTTCTATTAAAAAAAAGTCAGCAGGAAATACGGGAAGCAGAGGGTCAGTGCTTAAGCTTTCCTTGGGATTATATTTGCCAGGATTAGTTGTGAGCTACCAAGAACGTTGGGCTTGTGCCGTGCGTTTTACATACCTACTGTTTTCATGCTGTAATGTGGTGTGTTGGCCATGGACGAACATCTTGGTCTGTGTCTCTCCCGTGTCGACCGAACGAAGACACTTTCTACCAAAGGTAAACACTATTCGGTGGATGTTTTGGATTGTAGCCGCGTGGACTGATTTGAGGTAACACGGAATCTCCAAGGACCAGTTACTGAATAAGTATTTATTGCAGAAAAAAAGAAATGTTTCAGTCATACTTTGAATATTTTCTTACAAACGTAAATGGATGTAAGTACTTAATTTTTTAAAAATAATTTTTATTAGTCAATAAAAATCTAAACCCAGTACTTGATGATTTACGGGCATTCCCCCCCCCCCCCCGCACACACACACAGCCTGTTTTTAGATTAGTCAAATTTCCTCTGCTGAAAGTCATTGGAATTTTACTTTATTCATTCAAATAGGTTTCACTTTCTTGCGTGGAAGTTGTTATATTAAGGTTACAAGTGACTATCATTACTTGTGTTAAAACATCCCAGTAGAACATCTCAAAATAATGTGAAGTCTCTTTTATTCTCTCCAAATTTTTTTTTGCTGTATTTTTTATGGTCATGGAGAGTAAAAGATACTAACATTGGAATCATCAATCAGCCCCAGGTTCAGTATAACCCACTGGATGAGGAGTGAAGCGTCCTCAAATGTCCTTTAACCTCAATTTCAGAACATACCCCATTCATCAATTGGACATTTCCACACCTGTCATCTCTGTGCCTTTTGGTTTGAGATTGTATATTTGGGGCAAATTAATGGCAGTTCTGTACTGTTGACAAATGCCCAACAATGAACTGGATTACAGGTCAAAGCAGATTTCACCGGACTGTTTTAGGGTGTACATAAGATCTCATGCTGAGTGTGTTGACATTATATTTATTTACATTTGATTACTGCAATTCCTTTACCTAACAACAAATGACACTTGTATAGATCTCTTCATGTCGGAAAGACGTCCCAGGGCGCTGGACAATCAGGAGTTAACATGGTAAATCTGTTTGTACCTCTGCTTAATTTACTAAAAAAAAATCATCTTCATGCTGTGATCGTAAGGATAATTCTGGTCTTTTTCGATGCCCGTTATGGTAAACTATCCCATGAGATGTAATTTATAATAATGGTCGATTCAGAATTTCTCACTTCTCCCTTAAAATTATGATTACAGTATTTATAAATGCTCCTCTCCAAATATTTAAAGGCAAAACTGGGTTTATTGTCGATACTTATTAGATATCAGTCTCTAAAGTACCAACTGTGAAAATAGCCTCTGTTGTAAAAAAAATCTATTGCCTATAGCAACGTTCATTCATTTGAAACTTTCCTCATGTTGTCAAAGACCTTCAGACATTCATCCTAAGTGCAAATTGTTGTATATACGATTTTTTCTTACCAGCAAACCTTTTACTTACGGATCTCTCGTGTACAGCTGAGACTGCATGAATAATGGAGTGCCTTTTAGGGTTGAATTACACACAGAAGCGCCCAAGTGATATTCAGCTATTAAGATAAAATATTTGATAGCTTGACACTACTTCAGGAAAAAATGTTTTGGATTCCATTACGCCACCCACAAGCTCTACAAGTTTTACTCTTCTAGTTTATATGGCTGGACAGTTCCAGCTATTAAGATTACCCTGTACCTAGCGAGATGTAATACTGTAAATAATTTAGATATTAAAGAACTGGATTGAAAACTCACTTTGTAGTCAAGGAGAAATGAACGTGCAGTAATTACTTTGGAAAATTCTCCCTTTTTTAAGAGTGATGTTTTAATTCTGTGCAGTATCCGAGAGCAAGCGACTGATGACATAACAATCCTTGCGTTTGACAGTAGCAGCCTATCGTGACTTTGAGACGTTTCAAAGCACTTCAAAGAATATACCTTAAAGTGAATCGCACATATTTTTTTATTGGCAAAAGGTGGCAGCCAACTGCGTCCCATAATCGGTCGTGTATTGAGGGACCAAATTATTATTTTTGGTGTATTTTTGAAGGGATTATTACCCCCAAAAATGCGATCTGCCAATCAACTAACAACCGAGTCCCTGTTTACGACTAGGTAAACGGAGGCGTGTGGAGTAAGGAAACTTGCCCAACGCTTCGCCCTGCCCCGGGAATCGAATGTAAACGTACACCAGTAAATTCTCACACCTGTTAACAGTTAATGTGCATGTGTCTGCCTTGGGGATGTGACTATGTACAAGATGGTTCAATTTTAACAAACAGCAGGGAGGTTGCAAAAAGGCACGATTTAAGTCACTCGTGTAAGGAAGCGAATGTGGAAATGCTGTTCATGAGTGTGCAGTCCTAACTGCTTTAATCCTTTACATTTGGTATTTGTTAGCTTTGTTGCATCCAAAAATAGCTTTGTTAAACACAAAATGACAGCACATATTCTGAGTTTCTAAATGTTAATGTTCAGCAATGTAGATTAGCTTCACTCATTTAGCTGAAGTCTTAACATCCAAATGATTTCCGAATCGTTTCATGCGATATAAAAATTGCACTTCCACCACGCTTAGCATTTTTGTTATTCTTAAGAATGTTTTAATTCGATATAGGTCATCCATAACCAAGTGCACTTAGAAGGTGATTATGTGGTTGGTTGGTGAATGAAAATACAGATATTCCAGTCAAAAGAGAAAATATTTCTCCATACCTTCACCTAAAAACAGATCCCATTTGGGAAAAATTTATTCCAAATGTCTTCTCTGACTTGTAACAAAAATTTCCTGATGTACAGTTTTCATACAAAATAAAAGCTATCAACAGTATCATAGCGGTTATGTTCAATCGCCCTCCCACCTCTCTGCCTTCCCTCACCCCTAACCCCACCCCGCCATCTCCCATGCTTGGGTCCCGACCCGACTGTCCAGCTGTATAAATGTAATTTTGTTGTTGTTGTTGTACTAATTTATTTGGCAGGAGATTATTGCTTGAATTATGTGCCTTTATTAAAATAAACCTTCTTAATAATAATCCTTGCATTTGATATAAAGCGCTACACAGAATGCACTGTAAAGTGAATTGACTGTATATTTTGTGGGCGAAATGCGGCAGCCAATTGCGCACAGCAGCGTCCCACAGACAGCCGTGGATTGAATGACCAAATTATTATTAGTTTAAAAAAAGTGAAGGGATTATTATCCCCGGAAAAGCGATTCCCCCAATCGACTAACAACCGTGTTCCTACTTACTGCTGGGTAAACAGAGGCGTGTGGAATAAGGAAACTTGCCCAACATTTCGCCCTGCCAGGAATCAAACCCAGGTCGTCTCGCTTGCGAGGCGAGTGCCCTAACTACTAAGCTACAGAACTATTTATTAATATAATACTAGTTAAAATAATATGTTTCAAGCCACTGGAATAAAATAAGGCATTTTTCACGTGGAAATTACATCGTCATCAGGTTGTGCAGAAAAACAAGCGGAAAAGGTGTACAGTTTTTGTATTATGTTAATGTTTCTTTTTTGTCGTTCCAAATTCTAAAAAAAAACTGATTACAATGAATTCCATCTTGTTAGAGGGGTTAAACAATTTCTTGATCTTAATGGGGCAAAACTACATCAAGTACTTCAGGGTTTATTTGGTAAAAACAAAAGTTTAGAATGGATTTGATCGTATCATAACTGAGTTTGCTCCAATACGCTGATTTTTAAAAACATGTTTTGTTTGTTTTAAAGAGCCTTCTATGTTTCTTAATCATTTAATCTCAATGTGTTTGTAAGATTTTAGACTGATAATGTAAATATTGACCAAATTCTGAAAGAATTTTAATGCACCATTACTCTTATCTTTATTCTTTTTAAATATGCATAATATTACCGGTAATTTAACTTTGTCTTCCAATTAATTTACTTTGCATAAGCTTAGAAATAAACTTTTAAAAAAAATAACATTCGTATCTGTAAGGGTTTTTTTAAAATTAGAAATGTTGTTTAAAATATATTAAATAAATAAGAAAACAGATGGGTGTTTGCTATTCTAGCGCCAGGCAACAGCTGTTTGTATTTAACGGCGAGTGTAGGGCTGATTGCAACTCTTGAATTACAAAAAAAAGCTGATTATTGCTGTAAACACTTTCTGTTTGCACTCAGCTATACTTTAGAGTTCCAGCCAGGAAGTCCACAACAAAGCTCGCTCGCTTTTTGAAGATCAAGATATAACTCCATTGGCTCCTGAGGGAAATTTTCCTTACAGTGTTCTCTCTTAATACCTGTATGGAAAACAGCCCTCAAAGAAACACTCGCACTAAAGTAATTTCCCAAAAGTGTTCACTAAACTCAATTGATATTAAGGGTTGGAATTCTCATTTTAAATTTAAATTTGTGGATAGTTTAAATAGGTAAAATGGGCATAAAATGTCCCTGATCTAAAGTACCTTTAGTACTTGCTAAATATAAATAATATCAACACAGAAAAGAGTTAGCAATAGCGGTGATTGTATGCATTTGGTTTTGAAGAATTTGTGTGTCATTAGGTGAGGAATACAGGTTTGGGAGTAAAACATTTTCCTATTTTAGGCATCCAGTGTCAGCACCAAGCATTCCACAGTAAGGTAAAACAGCCAGTAACAGGGCAATAGGCAAAATACTGCAGACAGAAATCTGAAATAAAAATAGAAATCGCTGGGTACACTCAGCAGGTCAGGCAGCATCTATGGAGAGAGGAAAGTGAGTTAACGTTTCAGGTCGCTGACCTTTTGTCAGAACCATTTAACTCATTTGGCAGTAACAGAACAAGACTCGTTCTACTCTGACCCACCAAATTTACTGATTAGGATTGACATCGCTTTATCATAACCTCAGCAAGGCATGCCCACAATGTAATATTTCCTATATCAGCCTAAACCGTATTTGCCAATCTTGGCAGTGCAGCAGAAATGGGGCATTAGAAGCTGAAAGAAAGCTCCACTTTTGAAAACATTCCTTGATCTTTGTTCCGTAATTCTAAAGGCTGTTTGAACGAAATTTCTTTCATCAGGCAAGTGTTATCATTCTTATTACAAAAATAGAGGTACACGTTTATAGACAGCACAAAATCGTCTGTCTGTACTGGAGCAGGGACCGTGAAGGTTATGTCAGGTACATTGTCAAGGTCAGCGATTTCCCCGTTGATCTTCTGGCCCTCCAGCAGGTACTCGTGATCTGAAAATAATCAAAGCAGAAAGAAATGTCCAAGTTTAGAGAAAGTCAATCATGCAAAAATCCTAAACAGTATATAATCATAATAATCCTTGCATTTGATACAGCACCTTATCACGTCTTCAAGACGTCAGAAAGCGCTTCACAGAATATACTGTAGAGTGAGTTGACTGTATATTTTGTGGGAGAAACGTGGCAGTTGCTGGGACGTGGAATGCCCTGCCATTCCACATCCCAACTAAAATGTTACATCATCTTCCGTTCTGATTCCAAACTACAGAACTTATATTCTTTCTATAATTTTTCAATGTTTTCCTTACCGTTGATGTTTTCACTTCCCTTTGATCAGTACAACAGCTATCTATCAATTTTTAAATTAATCTAAAATCAGTTCTATGAATGACCAGAAAAAGGACTCTACCAGTGCGTAAATCACAGTTTGCTGATCATAAAAACCTGCAGCACAGAATGATTTATGTCCCACATTCTACATTAGGATTGTTTGGTTTCATTTTAATCTGGAAAACAACATTAAAGAGGGGTCATCAATAACCAGGGCTGCAATATAATTTTGTAGAACAGATCTGCTGGACAAATACCGAAAATAGAGGTGAAGAAAGGATTGCAGCAAAATTCTAGACAACTCAGCAAATAGAGGCTGAAAGGACAGAGAAGCTGAATAGTGCATTTGGGTAAAGTTAGCAATTCAAGAGGGTCGACTAGAAGAAAGATTCTTTAAAAAAAAATTCAATTTGAAGTCAAGTATTTGTTTACGTGAATGTGGCCCCAAAACGTTGGAAATCGAATCGTCATTGTAGATAATAAAAAAAACAACTGGAAAAGATCAATTTTACTAATTAATATAAATGCAGATAAAAATGTAAAGAGATCAATGGTATGCAGTTGGAAGATTTGTTTTAGTAATGCTAAGACAATATGGAATAAGAAGATTTTAGGCATATCCCCTCTAATAACTCTTGTACAGGGTGACCAAAAAGTCATAATACCATTTGTTTTAAAAATGAAAAAACAAAAATATCATCATTTCTTGAAGACTCATTAGACACTGTAATGGTATCACAACTTTTTGGTCACTGTATAACCGCATGGCCTTTGGCTTTTCCCAATTCATTTAATGTTATGAAGAACATGAAGTATTCACAGATGAAATCTCTGAAATATCTTCCTAACTCCTGAATATAATTGCTATCTATATCACTCAATCCTGCAATTACATTCCATACGTGCTATTTCTATACTTCAGTGGTACTGTTACCAGTGTTTCATTAAAGTATTTAATCATCTATGTGTATACTTATTATAATCTTTGGTCCTGTTCTTAAGCAGATATTAATCTAGCTTACACAGCAATTGAATGGGTTACTGTAATTGGCTTACCGTTAATTGTTTTTAAAGGAAATATACTACTCTACGGGGGGGTTGTGACCTCTCGTCTCATCTGACATTTAACGTCCTCACACATTAATACTGTCCTTATCCTTCAGCATTTAGAAGACTCGGATTATGTGCTGTCTTGACAACCGTTTCTGCAGGGCAAACAGGTCAAAACCTCCTCACGCAAAGCTTCATCTTCAACAATCACCCTTCCCACTCTTCCTAGCAATTTACTAGATGTTATTCTGAAAGCAGTCTGCATTCACGGCTGAGCAGTATGTATGATACGGTGAGCAGCACAGCTTTCAAACTGTATTTGCCAATGATATTTGTGTGGAAACAGTACTCCTGTATGGTATTTAACAGTGTCACTATGTGGGAAATCTCCTTGCAATTCAGAATCGAGTCTCAACATTTTTAATCAGTTGAGTTGTGTTTGGATCTCCACAAGCTATTCAGAACTCTGGCTAGGCTGTACCTAAAGTCCTGCATACAGTTCTGGTTGCTGCAACACAAGGACAATTTTGTGGATGTCAGAGAACAGAATTTATGAGGACTCGTTGGACAAAGTCACTTGCATTGCAATTCCCCAAGCAGTGTTATTACAAAGAAATGACAAAATTGAGTGTGAGGTAAGCACAACTGACAGGCAAGGCTGGGTCCTCAAGTTTCAGTCAAACATTAACTCAAGCTCTTGAAACGCTTAATGAAAACTTATTTCATTACCGATGATGGAGAATCGAGAATATTCAAAGAAGCTTCTATTTGACCGAGAAGCCAAGAAAGCAGTTTAAAAATACTGCTGGCAGTGATAACAAGCAAAGCATCAGAGACAAAAAGGGATTTAAATATTACAATTTCATAAGTAAAAGTATGAGTGTATGTTGCAATCGACTCCACTGATTGAGCATTTGGTGGCTTAGGCACTTAAATCCATAATTCTCCGTATCATTCCAGACACATGTAGCTTTGTTGCTTGGAAGTCACGTAGCTCTAGCGGAAGGGAGCAGTAGGGTACCTCCTGTAACAGCTAGCATCCCACAGCAGTCGTCAGCAATAGTGGAAGTGATCAAGAAAATGAAGAGTCACTGGCTCAATTCTTCCAGGGAGAATCAGTTCATTGTGAACATAGATGCCAGAGGGCAACAACAACAACAACTTGCACTTATATAGCGCCCTCGCTCAGGGTAGTGTCTCAGAGCGCTTTCGTATTGGGGGACACATGTATTGACCATAGATTATGATGCTTTATATCTGACCACATTCCATATCTCCCCAAAGAGGCTCTCAATCTTTCACCGGCAATGTATGATTCAAAAGCAATTCTCACTACGGAAATTTTCCAGCGTTATTTTATAGATTTTTTTTTTCCCCACCTGAGATTTTGAAATGAAATGATTGCACCCAAAAACGTGGAACAAGCAGAAAGGATAGGAGACTTTATTTAAGAATTTTAAATCTATCTTCTGATTTTTTTGCAGCAAATAGGGAGTGCAACTAGGGAGTGCCTCCTCTGTGTATATAAAAACTCATCTTTTGTAACCTAGATCAATAGATTACAAAATCTGAAACATTAATAAATTGGTCACTTCAATTCCCGACTGTGTGTGGGACGCTGCTGTGTGCCATTGGCTGCCGCGTTTCGCCCACAAATATACAATCAATTCACTTTACAGTATATTCTGTGAAGGGCTTTGAGACGTCTGGAAGACGTGATAAGGCGCTGTATCGAATGCAAGGATTATTATTATTATTATTATAGATGAGGTTGATTGGGAAAATTCACATTTGGGATTAGTTTCGATATCTACAAGCCCCCCTACTCCAAAACACAAGCCAGTTTGGTTCCATCTGGAAGGACAATCTGAGATCTGAAGCCAATGTAGAAGCTGCTTTTAATTTGATCAAGAATAAAATGCTCAAAACGAAATGACATTATTCCTGGTATTTTTGGTCTGTTCCCCTTGCGAAGCAGTGATTGATTCTGTTCTCGGGAGATTCGTCAAACCTGGCCAAACTAGTCCAGGAAATTCATTGTTTTAGAGTTACGTCGTTACAAAAGAAAACGGTTTTGAAAGTCTGGAATGTCAGATTAGAAAACATTTAAAATATAAATTACCTTCAGCTGAGAGTTCCCAGAAACTCGGTGCCCCCTCTGTGAGTTTGGCTCCGTCCGGGAGGGCAATTTTCAAAATGAACTGCAGTGTCAGACCAGAAGAGACTGCTAATGGAGATAAACGCACTGCGGTTGCAGTCTTCGGACGCCGAGAAGCTTTCTTTGGTTTTACGGGTAGCACAGCATCTACGGTATCCTTGGCTGTAATTGGCAACTGCGCAAAAAAAGATTTTTTTTTAAATAAAAATTAAATCCACAAGCATAAAAGTCAGTCCAGAATAGATATCTTCGTGCAAGAGTTTTAGCATTCTCAATACAGTGACTCACAATTCTCATACTATGATAACTTAATTCATGTTTTAGGATAGCTTTACATTCTCCTCATCAGTTATCTACAGTGCTCTCCACTTAACTGCATATTGGATAATTCCATATTCCATTTAATTGCATAGCAATGTCAAGGTACTGAAAATGTGCTATTTGTTTGCATGATACTGCATAATTTGCTCTATCTAATGTAAAGTTCCTAATCATTCTTCATAAATCTTTTGAAGAAAAAAATGTGACTGGTCGATTATAAAAATTAAAGGGTGTTAACCTGCAACAACAACAACAAGATTCCATTTATAGAGCGCCTTTCACGTCGGGAGGACGTCCCAAGGTGCTGTACAGTTGGGTCAGGACCCGAGCATTGGGGAAATGGTCAGGGGGAGGGGAGGGAAGGGAGGGAGCGAGGAGGGGGTAGAGAGTCGAGAGGGGAGCTGAAGGCACGGTCAAAGAGAAAGGTCTTGAGACCGGCCTTGAAGGACGAAAGGGAGGAAGCGGCAAAGGCACTGGGGGATAGAGTCCCAGAGCCTCGGGGCTGAGAGGCTGAAGGCCCGGCCACCGATGGTAGGGCGGTTGGGGCGGGGGATGTGGAGCAGACCGGAGCCAGAGGAACGGAGGGTACCGGCAGGTAGGTAGGGGAATAGTAGGTCGGAGAGGTAGGAGGGAGCGAGGCCGTGAATGGCCTTGTAGGTAAGGATGAGGATCTTGAATTCGATCCTCTAGGGGATGGAGAGCCAGTGGAGGCGAGCGAGGGTGAGGGTGAGAGTGATGTGGTGCGGGACAGTACATGAGCTGCAGAGTTCTGAATGACCTGCAGTGTGGAGGGAGGTGCCGGGAAGGCCGGCGAGGAGAGAGTTCCCATAGTCCAACCTTGAGGTTATAAAGGCGTGGAGAGTTTCAGTCTCTCGTCCAGGACTCAATGTCAGACAGGCAGCTGTCAGGACATCGTGGGTCGTGGAGTTGACGGTAGAGGAGGAAAGGTAGAGTTGGGTGTCATCCGCATACATGTGGAAGTTAATCCCATGTCTGCGGATGATGTCACCACAGGGGGAGCATATAGAGGGTGAAGAGGAGGGGACCGAGGACAGCGCCCTGAGGGACACCGCACGAGACAGTGCGGGGGCCGGAGGAAAAACCATTCGTGGAAACAAAGTGAAGACGGTGGGACAGGGCCTTGAAGGTTGAGGTGGGAGAACAAGCGGTGGAGGAGGATAGCGTAGTCGACCGTATCGAATGCTGCCGATAGGTCGAGGAGGCAGAGGGAGCCCTGGTCACAGATGGTCAGGATGTCATTGGTGACCTTGGCCAGGGCAGTTTCTGTGCTATGGGCAGCACGGAAACCCGACTGAAGGGATTCGAATAATGAATGGGTGGACTCGAACTCCAAACCTATTTGGGATACGTTAATGCACAATATCATATCTAAACTTACCACTGAGACAATCTGAGTTTCTAAATCAAGAACTTTGATCTGGTGATTGTTGGTGTCCACCACATATAACACATTTCCATGTTCACCAACGCACAAACCTCCAGGTTCATTGAATGTAGCCTGGCTGAAGCTGGGACCAATTATATTGCTGGCCTCACCAGTTCCTGCCAGTGTAGCACAATGTTTTGTTTTCGGATCTATGACTTTGATCTGAGAAAGGAATAAATAAATGTACATTTAAATTGAGACACCCCTTCTCTCACCGTCAACCCAGCAAAATGGTCCTGTATTTAAATGTATTTTAATACAGTAATTTATCATGGCAGGATTTACACAGGGCGATTTAGTGACTGAAACGGATTACCAAGAAAAGCTCTTTAGGAAACAGCTCAATAGTAGGACTTAGGGTGGATATTCTGGAAGGCAACTAAGAACTGCAGAGTTTAATATGGGATGACGGTGAGTACAGTGAATGGATTTAAGGTTTTGTCAGAATGTTCCCACCAGAATTGTGAAAACATTTCACAAAGCAGATGATTAACTAACATCAATAAAAGTATACATCAGAGTGAGAAACCGCTACAAGCGAGTTTGAGTAAAGATATTTTGAGAACAAGCAGGTTTTGGTATTTGGAATAATTGGTCTTCTTCATACTATAATCCCTAATTATGCCGAAAATGATTACCAGACTTTCAGAGTAACTAGGCTTTAGGTTTTGCACAGTTCAACAGACTTACCTTGTGGTTGTAAGAATCTGCTGCGTACAGCAGACCCCTCTGCTTATTCCAAGCCACTCCCAGGGGATGCTGCAGCTTTGCATTCACTCCAACACCATCCACATCTCCAAAAGCAAACAAATTCTAAAAATTCAATAGATTGATTTTCATTATTCATCACAATATTTCAATAGTCTGTGGCTGAGCAGTGCTATAAAAATGTCCGCTTTAAGAACACTCATGTCCAATTTATTTTAGCCTGACTTCTACTTTTAGTAGATGTAGTAATTTCATTATTTCTTAGCTTTCGCTTATTTTCTGAAAGGGAAGGGGATGTTTAGAAAGCACAGTAGAACCCTGTTATAATGAGTTTCATTACAATGCAAGTCTATTTATAGCACGACTGAGGTGTGACCATTTACCTACTCAAACAGGCAAACGTGCAGAATGTCTTGCTTCCAAACTGTTTGTCTTGTTGTCTTTTCATTTGCTAAAAATTGGCCAACTACTGGGTCAGTGAATACAATGTGACATTGGTTGAGTTTCGGGGCAGAGTGGCTGAAGGCACGGCCACCGATGGTGGAGCAGAGGGGACGAGGGACAGACAGGAGGCCGGAGCCAGTCGAGCGGGTGGTGGAGTGGGGGGTGTAAGCAGATCGGAGAGGTAGTGAGGTGCGAGGCTGGCTACTGAGCCACCACGGCTTGCCATTGTGCTCTTCCCTCTGCCAGCTCCTGTGGCTGGCTGCTCATAGATATTCTTTCATTCAGATCTATAATCTCAGGTACCGAGATGTTAAATGGTGCCACTGAAGGGCATCAAAAACTTTACTTGGTTTTGGGAGGTAATTTTCCGAATACAGGACAAGAAGAATACAGAGAGTTACTCTGCTAGTTTCAAGGAAGTCTGGCAAGTTTTCTGATATGTGCCCATAATAGGATTCCCCTATTATAGGCATATGTTGAAAGAATATCCTCTCAGGTCAGTTTTTGAAATCCCTCCATCATTCTTCAGTCGGTTTGGAAAAACCTGAGCTGTTACTATAGTAACGACTGAAGCACTGAACTCAGAGAAAAGAATATCAAAGTTTTACCGGTAGCAAAATTATTTTTAGCTAAGCTTTCAGATGTTTCTTTGAATTTAAGGACTGTTTTGATAAGATATTATTTGTCCATGAGGGAGGAATGTTTGAAGTTGGGTGGCAATTAGTGGTGCTTTGAAGATTCTGGTACTATTTATGCCAAGTGACAGGAAGCAAGGGTATTACAGCACTGTAGATAAAAATATTTAGGTAAACCAGGCCATGTGACAAGAAATGCCTGCATGGTAGGAACTGTCTCACTGCTTAAATGTTTTATATTTCGTACGCACAATAATCCTTAATAATAATCCTTCCACTTGATATTGTGCCTTATCACGTCGTAGAAACGTCTCAAAGCGCTTCACAGGATATACTGTACAGGTTAGTGACCATGACACATTATATGAATTCTATGAAATATATTATATGAATTCTAACAGTGATAAATCAAGGTCAAAACTTTGAAATCATATAAAAAAACCCTGAACTCCGTTGATAAATGTTATTGACTAAACAACTGCAATTTGGATCATTTGAGCTATCCCTTTACTGTGGTTTTGTTGTCTAAACCCCATTTTCCCATTCTTAGGTGTTTAGTTGCAATATTTATCTTTGTTTAGGAAAGACTGCCAAAAACTGACAGATAAATGATGAATGGAAAGCACAATATAATTTTATGTGCCAAGCAAATGACCAGCAACAGTCACAGTAGGATGCTCACATGAGATATAGCAAGCAGTGTTATCTCTGATGCATTATGATTTATGATCTAAATAACATTCCTTACTGTTTATATCAGCTCTCTTTTTCAGCAATATAGATTCTTAATTCAAAAACAAAAACACAATTACCCTTCATGCTAGGTAGTTTTATTAATTATTAATTTGATTTAATAATCGATTCCTTAATATAATATTTTGTATTCATTATTCATTTTATTAATTCAAAAATGGAATGGCATAAGATTCTGCAAAAAATTAACCTAAAATACTAATTTTATATGAACATTCTTATAGCCAATATAGCAAAAAAAAGTAGTTAAATACAACCCATTTTGAAAATAATTCTACTTCTACAAACCTATCCACCATGGTTATCAAAAGATGCTTATAAAAACAATTATAATAATCACTGGATATGATGCAGCCCTTTTCATGTCAGGAGTACATCTCAAAGCGCTTCAAAGGACTTTATTGTTGTGTCGTGACTGTGTACTTTATGGGTGAACGCAGCAACCAATTTAGGCACAGCAATATTCCACAAATCCCAATAAAGTGGATGACCAATTTTGTAGTGTCATGGGATCTTTGTGGAGTCCTGTAGCTCAGTGGTTAGAGCACTCGCTTTGCAAGTGAGAGACCTGAGTTCAATTCCAGGCAGAGGGCGAAACCTTGGGCAAGTTTCCTTACTCCACACAGAGCCTAATAATAATCCCTCCAAAACCAAAAACAATAATAAATTGGTCATTTTCAATCTACGACTGTTTGTGGGACATTGCTGTGCACAATTGGCTGCCGCGTTCGCCCACAAATATACAGTCAATTCACTTTACAGTGTGTTCTGTGAAGCACTTTGGGACATCCTCCCCACGTGAAAAGCACTATATCAAATGCAAGGATTATTATTATTATTATTATCTTTAATTTCCACTTGAACAGGTAGACAACACCTCTCTTTAATGTTTCATTCAAATGACAATGCAATGTCCCCCCAACACTGGAGTGGCAGCCGAGATTGTGAGTTCAAAGTCCTGATCTGGGGCTTGAACCTGCAACCTTCTGACTCAGACATGAGAGTGCTACAACTGAGCCAGGCTGTATAAGACTATACACACAAATTCAATTCACATTTAAATTTTCAATTGTTGCAATTTTGTTATGCCAAACAATAACTTTGAGACAGTGGTCTGAATTGACTGACAACAACAACAAATTGCATTTATATAGTGCCTTTCAATTCAGGAGGGGGTCCCAAGACAAACCTGTTAATGATGTTTAGTTGCTGAATATTCAGTATTGGGGGGGGGGCAATGCGCTCCTCATCACAGCACGATAAAACATTTGGTGTTTTTTTAAAAAAAAGCAAATATTCTGGTTACCAATGGATCTCTTTCGCCTCCCACCACGTTTTTCACAGCACCGTCCTTCAGTGATACAGAGCGTAATGAACTGCTCTCGCTGTCAGCAACAAAGAGACAGGTCCAAGGTTCCGGGGCGAGAGACAGGCCCGATGGCTGAGCAAATCCTGCTTTATGGGGATAAGAATTGTTTCGGTTTTCCTCATTGCCACTTCCAGCAAAGCAGATGCACGTTTCCTTCTTGTAATTTCTGAAAGAAACAAGTTTACAAATATGCAGATAAGAACCACTGATATAAAAGGGTTCTCCAATAGCTATCTATATATATATGTATATATATATTTCCTACTTGTTCTCTCATTCCAACCAAATTGCTGAAAATATTTCAGAAAATGTTTTCTCAGAAAGTATAATAAGCAATAGTAATAATCTTTGCATTTGATACAGAGCCTTATCACATTGTTTGAGACGTCTCAAAGCACTTCACAGAATATACTGTAAAGTGAATTAACTGTATATCTTGTGGGTGAAACACGGCAGTCAATCGCGCACAGCAGTGTCCCACAAACAGTCGTGGACTGAGTGACCAAATTATTATTTTATTTTGATGGGATTCTTACCCCTGGGAAAGCGATCCATCAATCAACTAACAACCAGGTTCCTACTTACTGCTAGGTAAACAGAGGCGTGTGAAGTAAGGAAACTTGTCTATCGCTTCGACTCGCCCAAGAATCGAACCCAGGGTCTCTCGCTTGCGAGGCGAGTGCTCTAACCACTAAGATACAGGATTCCAATCAGTTGGGATTGAACACTAAAGCAATTTTTGAATCAGAGATGTCTGAGTTTAGAAGAACATATGCCCTTTAAAAAAGTTAAGTGTACCCTTCACAACAGAGTCAATTTATCAGTTTATTTTGTTTTGTACAGATGCACGAGCAAGCTGGAAATCGCAACAAACATCTTGCAGACTGGTGTGCGTGGCTGGAATGAAGTCACTGGGCAGATTGACAGGAGCCAGATGTATGTGGCCGCTTTTAGATTCTATTTTTGCTTCTGAGTTCCCTGTTGGTCCAAGAGAGATGAGAATGGGGGAAATCTTGGTGGAGAAAGTCTTGTTTCATGGTGGTAATGTGAGTCCGGGTTTTTGGTACTCTGATTCGTATCATCAGATATTTAAATGGTCTGAATGTAGAGTCCAAATTATTTTCATTGCCATGGCAGGCACTCGTCAGATATGGGCTCTATTTCTATTTCAACAGAATTGCTCACTCATACAAACCAAAAGTGACAAAATCCAGTCTCTCATATTGCTGGATGGACTGAGTACAATACCTAAATAACAACAAATCATCACATGATAAGGAAAGTGTTCTGTTAGTAAATGATGTTCAAGCCCTTTTGAGGGGAGGGTTCACCTCTATTTAGGCAACTGTTGAACAGGAATAAAGTTATTTTCCTTAAATACGAAAAGCGAGAATTCTGGCATTTCTGGTATGCATGTTGAGTTTAACATTTTGTTCAAAAGTTACACAGTTAGTTACTTGCTTACCTTCCTTTTGGAAGTTTTCCATCTTCTAGAAATAGAGCCCATATCTGATGAGTGCCTGCCATGGCAATGAACAGAATTCTATCTTCAGCATCATCTGCAACAGAGTAAGATATGAACTGAAATTAATTCATCAACACACATTAAAGTAAAACTATTACAATCAATGTTTCTTGTTTAACAGTTTGTTTAAAAAAACAACATGATGGAGAACGTCTGAGGAATGTTCCCGTGCAATTACTTTATCCTCAATGTCTGTAATAACACAACTTGTATCTGATTTTCTTTTTGAAAAAAATGTTTTAGTGATTGCTTTCAGTGGAGCATTCATTGCACTGAAGCAAAGTAAAAATATTTCTGCACTTAGCAGCGTTTTACAAAATCTGCAACCCGTAAGAAACATTCCATCTGCAGAAGTATGTTCTTTTCTACCTTGTTATGCCAACACTATTTTTAAGAAAAGAATACTAGTGAATATCAGAAGCTATTTTGGGGGCTTTAAACTAAAATGTGTTTATTTACTACATGGAGCACAAAACATTCAAGAATTCAATTAGAAGATGTGGTGGGTATTTTATGTTGCCGCAAGGTATTTTTTGAAATGCGAAATTACAAGCCTAAAGTTTAGGAGATGAAGAAAATGAAATGTTCTCTATGTCTAAACTCGCAAAGGATAATTTGGGACATAACAATGTTAACTTCAACTTTAGGTAATGGTAATACGTTGCACATAGTTAATTAAGCTAATTCAGTTTCCAAAATATGACAATCATCACATTAACAAAGCACTTTACCATTAAATTATTAGTCAAAACATTTCATTTTATTAACTATGGCACTCTTGTTTATTCAGTGAAAGGGGTGATAGCTAAATGCTGCAATATTAATTTGGGTCACATCTGTATTACACACCAAGATAAAAGTCTCCAGCAAAAAAAATGGGATTTACTTAGATTTAGATTTCATGGTTGATATATGAAAAACTGAAAGCATGCAGAGCTGAATTTAATGCAATGACTTTTCATTTCTGTGTTGTTCACAGTTCAACCATGAAATCAACATGTTTCATATCAAGAGTCAGACCCAACATCTGCTTAAGCTTTAAAATGGGAGGGCAGGTCACAGCAGATTTGTTCTGCAAACTCTGTAGACAAAACGAAGTGGGAATGGTTAAATAGTATAGAGCCTTTTTTTGACCAATGTTGCGTGCATTATTTATAAATTAAAAGCAATATCACACTGTTTTGTGTTAACATTCAATTTAATGCTCAAAGAAACATAATACTGTATTGCTTACATCAAAATTTTTCTCTCATTAGGCATTCACCTATCTGCTATCACATGTCCTTGCAGTAGTATCAACTTATCACATACCCCATGGTAACATTGCTAAAATATCAGAAATACTGACCTAAGAATAGGTGTTGTGCTATCAAAAGTGCAAACTGAATGACTATTTAAAAATAAAACATTAATACAAAACTTCAAGGGAAAAGCAAGTGATTATCCTATGCTGTTTAACTTAAGTTGTCAGCAAAACTAAACAAGATTTTAACTGTGTGAATACAATGGCTCAGTAATGCCTAAAGATTAACACATACTGATGGATTGTGTTCCAACTTATAAATCACTGATGATCATCATTCATGAAAAGGCTGCTCAGAACAGTAGTAGGAATGCATGGTAATAATAGTGGGAATTTATGGCAATCATAGTGTTCCTCACCATTCATTTCAGCCTTTCTCCTTTGATTTTTCCCATTTTCCTCCACTTCACTGCAGATTTCTCTACTTTAAGCTGTACTTAGCTAGAGGCGAGCTTGGGTTTACTAGTTTAACTCTCTCCAAAGATGAGATGCCCCACCCAACATTTAGTGACATGTATTAAGGGGATTGAGAAACATTCATATTTAATGGGAGAAAACATTTTGTTTTAATAAAGTCACATCTGTATTACACAGATGTATATATTTTTCTGTATATAGTCAAGAATGTTACATAAATTAGTTTCCTGAAACATATTTCTTTGAATCATAATAATCTTTGCATTTGGTATAATCCTTCATCACGTCGGAAGGACGTTTTAAACTACTTCACAGGATTTACAGTAAAATAGAGTGACTGTATTTATAGGCAAAGATGGCAGCACAATTGAGCACAGCAATGTCCCACAGATAGCCAGGAAATGAATGACCAATTTTATTTGGGGGATTGAATTAATATTTAATGATTTTGTTTTATTGCAGATTAATTGTGATGATGTTCAGCATAATCATTAACTTCCCACAGTCAATATGATTATATTTAACTACTCAATTTATGTGAAATGGCTGTATAATGTGTTTTTCTCTAGGTCATAATATGTTTGTCTTCATATAAAACCTCTGATATTTTAGTGTCCTTTGAAAATGCTGTGGTACTTCATTTCATCTGTTTTCAGACATAAGAACATAAGAATTAGGAGCAGGAGTAGGCCATTCAGCCCCTCGAGCCTGTGCCCTGCCATTCGATAAGATCATGGCTGATCTTCAGACCTAACTCTAATTACCTGCCCTATCCCCATATCCCCTATTTTTTAAAAATCTATGTTCAAGGACTGACATCTACAGCCTTCTGGGGGAGTGAATTCCATAAAGTCACTGCCCTCTGAGTGAAGACCTCTAGAGCAAGTATGTCCTTTTTTAAATAAGGAGACCAAAACTGCACACAATACTCCAGGTGCGGTCTCACCAAAGCCCTACACAGTTGACAAGTTAGAACAGACAAGTGTTTTCCATCTATATATTTACAATATGGTAAAAGCTAAAGTTAAAGATTAAAAATATGTAAGAGTTTAAATTTTTAGAGGCTTTGTTTGAGTTTAAGCCAAAATAATGTACGCAACCATTCGAGCTCATAATATTGAGCCCAGTTTTAATCGTAAATGCCGTACGTTTTCCTTTACAGATCTGAAAGATAAGAAAACGGCTTCCGAAATAAATTTGATAATGTACCTTCAGGTCTGAAAGGGTTGTGACAACAGTTTCGAAACTCGCAATTATCATTGGTGATTTGATTAGACAGTTCTGGACCATACAGAAAGTATCCTAAAAAAAGGTCTCACCATTGTGCAAACTGGTACACCTTGGCTTAGCTGAAAACTGTAATATTTGTCCAGGTGAGTGCGAATCAAAAACAACCATTCAAAATCCGTGACTCATGGTTAAAGGATCTAATTTCTGCCAGTGGAGCTAACAGGAAATTAACAGTATCAAATGTACCAAATTAAGACCCAAGGCACTAAATTCATTATTTGTGATAACAGATTGTTCAATTCAAGAAAAAACCTTTACTGTCAATACCACAACAACAACTTGCATTTATATAGCTCCTTTCACACGGGGGTAGCGCCCTGGAGCGCTTGACATGGCGGAGTCTGACACCGAGCCAGGGGGAGAGGGTGAGTAGGTGAATTGTGCAACTGCACACAAGGCATGAAGCAAGCTGTATCATTTCTGCTAAAATATATTTACTTCTGAACTGTAAAATGAAGTTTGATATTTCCAAATGATGTAAGTTACAAAGTTTATCCGATTTATTTTTGCCGAAGTTGGTCTAATGCAATCTGTGTGCGTGTGTGTGTGTGTGTTTGCGTGTGTGTGTGTGGGTGGGGGGCGGGGGGAGAGGGGGCAGGGGAGATCAGATTAAGTAAAACACTCAGGCCATGGTGGGGAGGGAAGAGAAGAAACATTACACAGTTTAGCAGGTAATACTGTATACCAGTTAAACATATGCTAAACACATTCAGTACCGCACAAAGAGTTTCTTGATAATGAGCTGCAATTTATTTCTCAATACCCCATAAAGGTTTGCAGTGAGCGGAATTCACATTTACAAACCGCAAATAGAATATGTTCTACGTATCAAATACATATCGAAACCAACATATTCTAGCATAAGCTTTTAATCCAATTCTGGGCTTGGAGATGAGTAAAAGGAATATGTAAAGCTTCCATCGTCCAGATAAGAAAAAAAACACACCAAGAGTCACGAAAAGATCTAAATTGGAACCAGATGTGAATTATTTCGCTTTCACCATTTTTTGTAGTGCACAAGAATTCAAGATGGGCCATTGTTAATGAATACATTCCCTCTGTCCCCCACTGAGCAATGAAACAAAAGCATGTAGGAGCCTTCAATGTTCATATCAACAGTACATAAAACAAGTCCAAGCCATTATTTATATCGATGTAACATTTGACTCAAATAACCGTCTTGGTAAAGAAAGGACCGATATAAATACTAGTGAGTTTAAGGTTAATCTCCTTTTTTAAAAAAAGTGTTAATATGACAGAACTTGTATATTTGGGAGTTGCCAAGTAAATTTACAGATCAAAACACAAGATTAGTGGTTTGCAAATCAAACAAGGCACACATAATGTGAAAGATAAATCTGCTATAACCATGCTAAATTCTAATAATTCATTTATAAAATGCTCTCAGTTTGTTGACTCACATTATTAAGTTATAGGGGTCAGATTTCTGATAGCTGAGTATTGGAAGAAAAAGGATACGTTTGTATGCTTTCTTCTACTCGATGTTTGGTGAAGTTATGTTTTGCGCATTGCATATTTTACTGAATGCTGAGTTCATCAAGTGGCTGACAGCTAAGATGAGAAGCCATGGCCACACAAGCAGGTTCTTAAGCAGCTCAACAAACCACCCATCTATAACTCAACAAGCCACAGAGGTAGAGCAACCACGTAAGGGGAAATGACCACAGCATGTTGGCAAACCAGAATATATTAATAATAAACCTTGCATTTGATACAGCACCTTATCACGTCTTCGAGATGTTTCAAAGTGCTTCACAGAATATACTGTAAATTTTGTGGGCAAAAGGCAGCAGCCAGTTGAGCAAAGCAATGTCCCACAAACAGTCAGGGATTGAGTGACCAAATTAATTATTATTACTTATTTATTTGAAGGGATTATTACCCCCAGAAAGCGATCTGCCAATCGACCAACAACCGGATTCCTACTTACTGCTAAATCAACAGAGGCGAGTGGAGTAAGGAAATATATTGTGCCTTTTGGGGGTAGAAGGGTCACCAGTAATTCCAGAACCTTCACAAACAGTGTATGAATATATATTACAAAGCTAGCAATAGAGTATACACATAAGCAAGCAAAACATTATTATTGCCTGTATGTAGACTCATGAGATTAAAGGATTTATCGACCACATATCGCAGAGTGAGCTTCATCAATTTTAATGTTCCTGGCATTGTACACAATTAATACAGCAAAATTGTGTGTTTTGTTTCAGTATGCAAACAGAATGTCAGATTTTTATCTAAAGTTGATTGTGTGTCATAAAGTTAATCATCCACGGACACTTCATGACTTATTGTAAAACAAATAGCTTTGAGAATAGGAGGGTGAGAAGAAATGGTTCTCCGTATAATAACTGGAGAATGAGTTCTGTAAAAGTGGCTTGGGCGAAAAATCAGACAAGACAATTCCAGAGGTGAAATTAATTCAACTCTTGCGATATTCTGAGTGGATTCCATAGAAAATATCCAACGTACAGAGATGAGAAGCAACAAAAACATATTGTTGCTGCACCAATGAAGCGTAACACCCTTACGTTGAACAATTATTTATTTCGCTTCCCAAAAAAAATTATGGAATTTTTTCAAAAAAAACCTGATTGGTAAAGAAACAAACTTACCACTGGTGCCTGAAGTCAGATCCCACGGTGAGCTGATTGATTGTTTTGTTCCTATCTTGCCACCTTCCCTGTCAATTCCCTGAACACCAACTCCAGCTATCGTGCTAACCTTTTCATTTACAAGATCAATCTAAACAAGGGAATAAGTAGATCGGTCAAAAATACCTAAGTGAGTCTTCAAACAAACTAAAATGAGGAAACTGTGCTTTGAGAGGTCTCAACAACGCGATAAAGTGCTATATCAAATATCAAATGCAAGGATTATTATTATTGCTATACAATGTTTACCAATCTCTTGCAATGGAAAAATGTGAATGATATCTATGTGAAATAATACCTGTGTTTTAAATCATAAAAGAAAACAACTCCTGTCTTTTTTTCCAGGAGATGCCAGATACATTTTTTGCTTAAAAAGAAAGTCAGAATTTTAAAAAAGGCTGTATGCAAAACATTTCAAAAAATCTGTAACCACAAAATATACAGTCAATCTACTTTACAGTATATTCTGTGAAGCGCTTTGAGAAGTCGCAACGATGTGATAAGGCGCTATATCAAATGATAGGATTATCAAGAATTATTATAACCTCATTCCAAGAAAAACATCTCAGTACAGTTTGACATCAAATATTGATTTGCAAAATATGGATCAATTGTATTAATCTAGTAAACCAAACGCAAATTTCATGTACTAAAACAATACACAATCATTGTTTTCCTTACCATACTACTTCTAGGAAATAGCATTACGTAAAATAGATGAATAAATACAGTGAGTGCATAATACAGTTTAACTATGTATGTCCGAAGTTTTCTTCCCATTTATTGTCAAAATATACGTTAGAAATTGATCTAGGAACTTGTCTCCAAACAGAAAAAACAGAATACAGTAGAAACAAGAATGAGTTATCAGTCACTCAGTGACAGCTGTTTCTTTTTTAGCGTTGATGATTTTTTCCCTTACCTTTCTAATCACATGGTTCTCAGTGTCTGCAACATAGATGTTACTGTCCTTCATCAATACCCCTTGAGGAGAATTGAAACTGGCTTCTAAAAAGTTCCCGTCTTTCCATCCGCTCCCTGGTCCTGCAGTAAAGAAAGTATTAAGCTATGTGTTACACTGCAGCTTAATAGTAACTAAATAATATAAATAACTGTTTGTCGACACTGTGCGGGTTTTGCTCACAAAATATATAATCAATTCACTTTACAGTAAATTCTGTGAAGCGCTTTGAGACATCTCGGAGATGTGATAAGGCGCTATAACAAATGCAAGACATCATATATATGGTACTGAAATATTACACACTTTAGGATTAAGTGTGTAAGTAAGTGTCAAAAATAAGAAATTAGTTTTAGGAATATCAAACCTTCTGTAGACTTAAAGACCAATTTATCTGTGCCTTAAATTTAGAATTCAGTGACAGGCATAGAACATGTATTTGCATAACTTAACGAAAATACTTTATTACACTGCATTCTCACAAAGTATGCGCTCACAGAACCTGACATAGAAATATAAAAACTCACAACTAATTTTGGATGTATAGATTCCATTTAGAAAATAACTTCAATATGTTAAATTCCAAAGAAAACAGTAAAGTAGGGGGTTGAATCTTCAAACTAAACATACTTCACTCATTGTGTTCCTAAATAAAATCACTTACTAAGATTATAGATTTGATTGAAATTAAATACAATTTCCTTTTTCATAGGTATTTGTCATTTTGTACATTTAAAATTGCCACACAGCCATTCAGCTGACACAAGGTTAAAACCTGGTCAGCAAGTGGTTCAACCTATTCCTGTGCAGATCAGTGCTCTATTCTAGATATTGACTGAGACGTGTTGTGGACTTGGCCTTCAGTACCATCCAAGTACTGCTGTGCACTGAGCTGGTACTGATCTTCTCATACTCCGTGCCTTCAGGTTGGCATCCAGACAGTATGTTAATTTTGAAGGTTTAAAGGGCAAAGGTTCTTCCGTTTCACTGCATGGCAAACGTGTTGCATTATGGAGGATCAGTAAGTAAAATGTCATTTCTCATGGTTTACAATATAGAAGGAAATGTTCAGTATTAATAATCCGTTGATACAGAGCTTTATCGCGTCTTCGAAACGTCTCAAAATGCTTCACAGAATATACTGCTGTTTTTGTTGAACCTGCTGATTGTCGAAGGATTTTCTTTACTGGGCAAGGCAATGACAACTGCACAAATCACATTAGAGAAAGACATACAGAGACTTACCACCAATTGAGTGAAGAATGCCTCCATTTTTCTTGGTTATCAAAATCCTATGATGCCCAGAGTCCGCAATTGCTAGTCTATCTCCAGAATTATCAACTGCAATTTTACCAGGAAAGAGCAATGGCGAAGGTGGTAAGGAATCTCTGTATAACTTGGATTTGATGTCATGATCACTAATTTCTCCCTTTTCCTTGTAGTACTTCAACGTAACTGAAATAAATGAAAAAAGTTTTTCCTTCTGTCCTTCTCCAATCAGAGTGAACAATATGTTTCCACGAGGGCCGAGGATTATTAGTGTTGGCCAACAGGTCACGTTGAGCTCATGCCAAAGCTTTGCGTCTGCATCATTCACAACGGGGTGTGTAATATTATAGCGAAGAACGGCATTCTGAATATTCTGAAGCAACTTCTCATTTGGAAACTTTGCTGAATGAACACCGATCACTACCAATCCATCTGAAACAAAAACAAGTTAGAGGACATAAAATGTGATGGCATAATACTTAGGGATGCAATTTTACTGTAAAATAAACATCAGTAGTCAAATGATTGCAATAATTTCAGTACTATTGATTCTCAACTACTAATTATATATTCCATTTAATTGGGTAAAAACAGCTAATAATGAAATGACAAACCAGATAATGCAAACAGCGACACAAGAGAAAAATAGAGAAGTTCTATACAATATATACTGTACTGTAATTTAACATACTTTTTATTTTCTCATCTGGTAATAATTATCGTATGCTGAACGCAAGGCTTGGTGCAACACAAGTATGTATAAGTAGACAAACAAATATTCGCCCACAAATATACAGTCAATTCACTTTACAGTGTGTTCTGTGAAGCGCTTTGGGACGTCCTCACGACGTGAAAAGCGCTATATCAAATGCAAGGATTATTATTATTATTATAGATGCACGTAACCCAAGGCATCCGGAGGGAAAATTAGCAAGTCTACAAAATAGTGGAGAATAAAAGCATTCTTTCAAGGACAAATTTGAAGGACTTAATCTGTTGGAGATGCAAGTCAAGTGGATCAAAATAAAACTTCTAAGTACTGGATTTTAAAGACTTTCAGAAATAAGTGGAATTGTTTGAACTCACTGTCCAGCAAATATATGAATAATCAAATAGCTGCTCAATCAGTCCTAACCACGATACCAATTTAATCAGAATCATGTAAAAGCTCTGACTGAGTTATACAATACCATTTCATCTGCAGTTTTAGCTAAACAAAGTTGCTGTTCCACTTGCAGTTCAGAATTGTTTAAACAAATAATTTTCTTATTACAATGTTGCTCGTTTTATAATACTTTACATCTGTTCATAAATCCGGCCCTTTAAAGGTCTTTTTAACGCGTTTATAACCCCATTCTGATTTCAGTTACTCACACTACTAATGCTGTTCACAAACATGTTGAATTACAGTACTGCATACCCTTTCCTAATTTGGACATGAGCATACCGTGAAATGGTCTACTGAATTTTATTGGATTTGATCCTGTATTTCCCATACTTAAAAAATCTTCATATTTTATCGTTGTTCTTTAGAAGAGATTCTTGAGTTGCCTAAAAAATGCAAGTTATGTGTAGTATAAGTGGCACAAAGCGGTCTTCAAAATGAGCAAATTAAAGATGTCAGCCTTACAATTTTGCCTATGTGGTACCTACGCTATAAAATTATAGTTTGTTGTTCCTTTTTCTCCTCTCTTGAAACTAGCGGTTCACGCTGAAGTACAGATTAATGGTTTCCTTCTTATCTATTCTCTTAAGCCATTCACTTTGTGTGAGCATTAAAGTATACGTCAGCAGGCAATTCAAATACAGGGAATAGTACAGCCACATGTCCTATGCTGAAGGAGTCACTGGTAGCCTATACAACCGTGTCTAATTATTTCTCATTCTACAGTTATCTAAGATGGTTATAGCTCTTCTATCCCAGTCCATGGTGAGAACATCAAGCTCTTGAACCTTCCTGGTTTATATGGTACTGAGCCATTGGACCAAGCAGATTCAAAACCACATTCCCCAAAGGATTGCTCCCCATATTCAAAGATAAACTAAGAATAGGAATATTTCAAGTTATAGTTTTGGAGCATTCTTTCTCATTCATTTACTTGACAATGGGTGTGTTATCTTTTCATCAAAAGAAAATTAAATCTTTGAGGCCAATTACAAAACAAGACAAGCAATGATTTGTCGGAAATTATGCCACCGAATAAATACAAATGTTTTGCAAAGAGCAATTGGAAAAAAATCTATTGTTCAATTTTCTCCTCTCCTCCTCTGAAGGCAATGACCAGTAGTGGCAGTACGTTTACACAGATCATCCTTTTGTCCATCACGCCATGTGCGAACCTGCATATGAGTGTCAGCCATTGTAAGGCAATAATTCTTCATGCACAATCCTCAATTTTCTATGTTGGGTTTTCTTTTAGCTCAATTCTCTGGAGTTTCGTGCTAGTATTCCAGTTGTTCCGGCTGGTACGATAGACAACATGGCTCATGGCCAGTGGTAAGATAAGAATATAGAAAATCTCATGTGAATCTCAGATGGCACAAGTTTGCTTTAGAGCTTTAGACTTCCTTTCACATACTACTTAAATACTTTTTCTGCCATAAAAATATAGTTGACCATTTTAGGAGGTGCTTTGATACCAATTATATAGAGCTTATTCAGAATAATGCACACAATCCATTTTAGATACATTGATGGATCATGCCAAAACAAAGCATAAATAGAATGAATAGATAACCAGCTACAGAGTAGAAGCTAAAGGTGTTGCCTGGTATGCCAAGCCATATAATATTACAATAGAAGCAACCTCATTAAACTTTCTAATAATGGCCACATAATCGCAAAATAAAGAGGCTCAACCACTCTTGATAGCTATAAAAAGCAGCTGTTAGCAAAAATTGGCATCACGCAAGGTTCAGAAGATCAAAAGGTCCTCAAAGAGTCATACATTCCCTCACAAGCTATTTAATTAGAGGCAATTAATTCTACTCCTTTTATGGAATGGCAAAATGCCTGTCCTTGATCTGTTGGGGTGATTACAAAACCTAACCATTACAGCAAAATATATTGCTTACTTAGACATAGCTGCTAGGAGAAATTGTCCTAATGCATTATTGATTGAACACTTAACATTTCCAGATTTACTTCTTTCCAAAGACTGTTGCAAACAAGTTTACAGACACCACACCGAAAATGCAGAATTTTTTCCAATTGAGTCAGATATACCTGTCATTAAAACAATGTGTATAGAAAAAAGCATTTGTCTCACCACCAAAATGTCTCTCATTTCCCAGTAAATACTTTTATCTCATCAAACAAAATGTCTCTGCCTGTAGCCATAAGGCAGCATTGCAATTTTCAACCACCTCCTGCATGATTTATTCCTCTTCCTCTTGGATGGCATTTAGCAAGTGGTGGCAGCGATTTCTTTTTGACCGAGAACAGGCTAAACTATCGTTGCACCCGCACCTTTGCTAGAGCTGGGATGGTCTGCATTTAGAAGTCGTAAGTTAGAAGTTTGCACACTGTCAATTAGTTCTGTGTTGCCACCACTCTCTGAATTTCCACTCCATAACAACAACATGTATTTCTATAGCACCCTTCATGAGGGGTAGCATCTTGGAGTGCTTAACAGTGGCGGAAACTGACACCAAGTCGGGGGAGGTGACCGTAAGCATGGTCAAAGAGAAAGGTCTTCAGGTGTGATCTGAAAATGGGGAAGAAGGGGACAAGGCAAAGGGATTGAGGGAGAGAGTTCCAAAGTTTCGGGGTGGAGTGGCTGAACGCACAGCTGCCAAAAGTGGAGTGGACGGAATGAGGGACAAGCAGGAGGCCAGAGTCAGCCGAGTGGAGCGGCGGGTGATGGAGTGGGGAGTAAGCAGTTCAGTGCCAGGGCATGAAGGGATTTGTAGACAAGTTTGAGGATCTTGAAGTCAATCTGTTCTGATCGAGCCACTGGAGCCTGGCGAGGACTGGTGTTTGTAAAAACTAATTTGCACTATTTGACAATAATAGGACAAATATTTTTGTTTTAATTTGACGAAAAATATAGTGAAAAGGAACAAATAAGGACCAGTTGCTTTTTGACGAAAAATCCGAAGTATTCAATATCTTTAGATGCCAAAACTATGCAGGTCAATTTCTGCAGCTCTCTGGTCATTATTTGGCAGTCAGAAAGAGTTATTATTTATGTATATAAAATTCCAAAGTGGCAAATACCTTTACTGGAATATTTTTGTTCCAGGGCATGAAGATCAGGCAGGATGTGCATACAGTTGATGCAGCAGTAGGTGAAGAAATCCAGCACTACTACTTTACCATAGAGATCTTTGTGGAGCAAGAGAGGTCCATCAGTATTCACCCATTCCAGACCTACAAATAGAGAAACACAGTGGGATTAACTAGCATTGCATGAGTAATGTTGAAAATAGCAGCGTTTGTATGTAATAACTACCATCCTATGGTAGTCAGTGATCCAAATTTGCTGAAATGGGTTTTAGAAATCTTTCAACATGACTCAAGAATCGCCGGTAATTAAATCTAATGCCCTGGCCCCTAGCACACTCCCAAGTAGCCTGTTCCAGCTGTTGCATACCCTCTGTGTCAAATACTTCCTGGCATCTAACCTAAAAAGTCCCCTCATAACCCTGAACTTTGCCCTCTTCTTTTCTCTTGGCCTAAAGTATTCATCTGCACTTAAATTTTCTATTTATTGGCACTTATATACCAATACTGTATAATATCTGTACTGAGATTTATCTTTTCAAAGTTAGAGGCCTATCTTGTCTAGTCATTCCTCATAGCTCACACCTCTAAACACTGTACTTAGGTTTATTTTCTCTGCATTTAATTATACTCCTAAATGATGAACTTTGTTTCGCCCACAAAATATACAGTCAATTCACTTTACAGTATATTCTATGAAGCCCTTTGAGATGTCTCAAAGATGTGATAAGGCTCTATATCAAATAAAAGGATTGTTTATTATTGTGAATAGCCCTCAGGACTCAGAACTATTAATTTGAAATTGTGCACAAATCAACGTATACAACGCAAATACTTGCTGTTACTGAAGCCCTTCACTGGTGCCAATGCAAATTACTCTCTTAACATGTAAATACGTATATTGAATAGTACTTTAAACAAATCCTCTATTTAGAATCAAATTGATGCAAAATAAATATACAGTATATATATTAGCAATTGCTAAAAAGTTAATACTAGCAAAACAATCTGCAAATAAGACACTGAAAAAATTCCTACTGAGTTCCATTTGGGTCAACACTTACACAATTACTAAATTATTCTGCAAAAGCAAACCTCAAAGACATCCTTCCAGTAACTGTAACTTAGCGGCTTTAACAGAAAACAATTGAACCCAATTAGCAGCCTTTCACCTCTGGCACTTCCAGCCAAAACAGTCATGTGTGGTTTGTTGATACAGCAAAATCCACTTAAAGGAAGGTGTTATGAGAACATTTCTTTCTTAAGAATATTTCTCATTAGCCTTCAGTTGTGTGCTTCCCAACAAATGAGATAAATGGGACAAATAATTTTAATGAGCTAATTATTTAAGAATTGTATTGAATTTTTGTGAAATCTTTTGCGCCACAGAAGATTAGTGTATTTTTAATTCTGATGAGGCATCAGAGAGGAAATTGCCTTACACAGACAGTGCAGTTCAAAAGCTGAACTAATTTCCTCCAGTGACAAAAATAACTGAATTTAAAATAAAAACACAAAGCAATCTTTGGAAACTGACCAATAAAACATTGAGATAAGTATTCAAAAACAAAAGTTTCCCCTGCATCAACTCTTATGTGGAGTGGTGTTCATTCTTATGGTTTGGACATGCACATTCTCTGTCATGTACAATTCAGTTGTGGGTGCGCAGCCACTATTTGACGGTCGATTTTTTCGCTTCCTTCATAACCCAAACTAAGGTGAAGTTGTCAACTTCACAAATTGGTATGTGCACATTAACAAAACATCTTGATACTGTTATGGGAGAGCAGTCGGGCAAGTATTCTGGAAGGATGAGGTCAGATTGGCCAAAGCACATCCTTCACCCAATCTAATACAATATTTTGATCCAGTCAAGCAAAACAGTACAGCCAACTATTATAGGCAGGTGGTCTGGTTCCATAAGCTCTGAAACAAATCTAGCCTGCCGCGTCAAAATTGTACCCCATTTCTGGTAACATCAGGTCCAAAGGAATCTTGTGTTAAAATTGACCTGCACTCTAGCAAAGAGCTTAATAACAGGGTCACCCTACATTACTGTTAATTGTAACTTACGTTTTGTGACTTCTAATAAAAAAGTGAACAGATTATAAGTAGTAAACAGCACAACATTTTGCTCACGAGCTTTTTTGATACTAGACTGACTTGGGATTCACAATTTGTTGGCGTCTACTTTCTCAAACTGGAGGTTGCAATTACCTCAACAAATCTGGTTTGCAAATATCACAAATTAGCTCATGTATAAGGGTCAAGTATTGAAGCGTTGCTCAGTGTTCTTTTAATATAGCATAAAAATACATCAATGTGTGCTAGCAATGCCAAATAGCATCTGCAGATCAAACCCAGACTATATTAAACATGGCTTTCACTAGGAAATACATCAAAAACATGGTCATTTCACAATTCTGTATTTGCTTGAGCAACAAACAAATGAGTCATCATATCCCAACAACTGAATCATCCATTTTATGGTGAACAATCAACCTCTTTAGCATGACAGGTGGCCAAGAAATCAAGCTAAAGTGCTAGTAAGCAGTCACCATTGCTTAGGCGATGCAATGAAGGCTATATTAGAAGTAGCCAAGTAGCTTGCAGGAAACCACACATTTATACAGGAACTCACAAGACTGTGTAAAAGTTCCACTGCTTTCAGCCAAAGCATGTCCTCAAACAGCAGCACCTGAACTAATGTCTGCTAAACACCATGAATACACGGGGAAAGGTCACCTCACTAGCAATGTAGGACCAAGTCGACTTCAATCTTAATATCTCAAGCATTGAGTCTCAACAGTGTTAACTGCCAAAATACTTAACTGATTCAAAGTCAATTTCCATCCTCAAATAAGCTAAAATAATTTTTCGCCTATAACTGGAAAGTTGATTGCAATAATTGAAGGGTGTAAGCTTGAAGAAAACAAGAAACTGGCTTCCATCTTAAAAACTAATTTAAGATTTAATGGAAGTAAAATGTTGAATTTCCAAAATTCACATGATCTTAGACTTTCACGAGCCTAACATTGTGAGAAATGTTGCTATTGTGGCTGAGACTGATTTGCAACTGAAGCAAAAATCAAACTTAAAATGTTTACTGCTATTCCACCACAACTGTATCAGTATTTACTAATTTCTGTGCCAAGTTGACCGCCTGTTGTGATTACAAAGGAATGATGGTACAATAGGTAATTGATTGCTCTTCTACTTTGAAAGTGCCTGAAAATCTCTTGAACATTGTGATCTTTACAATTCAAGACAAAAGCTATTTACATAGACAAACATAAATAGATTGCACAAATCATACTTGTGGAATTGATTATTGCACGCGGGTTGTAAACTTTCCCAGGCAAAATCCCTTTAAATGCAGAAAAACTAACAATGTGCTGAATGATAGCTTGAATACAGGAAGTTTGCCCTTTCTGGAATGTCCTGAATTTTCATCTTTAGCTCCAATAAAGGAGCGATAGCAAAGAGAGGAAAGAGCACTTTATTGCTACTTTCACACACAGGCAGGGTGTCATTTGAGGTTAAGGCAACAGATTTAACGAGTATAAATTCTCACGCTAATTAGCAATGTTCAAATCACATCTATTTTTAAAAAAATGCAAGTCACACTCTGACAGGAGCTAAATCACTTAGCTTATCATTTATAATACAAATCGCACACTGAGGAAGAGTTGGTTTAAGAGATGTTACTTTTACTTGACAAGCACTGTATAAATGTAGGCTATGGTTCTTAATGCTCATGTAGACTTTTGCTGTATATCGACAACAGAATTCAACAATTAACCTTTTTTTAAATAACAGATGAAGATTGTTGTATAAATTATACTTGTTTTATTGTTTGTCTGTCTTGGCTATTTATTTTCCTTTTGTATGTTTCTCTACAACAGGTTAGTCGCGCAGGAGAGAAGATTGGAGAGTATGTACTAATAATCCTTGCATTTGAAATAGCGCTCTATTACGTTGTTGAGACATCTCAAAGTGATTCGCAGAATATACTACAAAGGGATTAACTTGTGTATTTTGTGGGTTTACTTTTTCCAATCTTGTTTAAAATTTTGTACACTTCTATGAGGTCCCTTCTGAGTCGTCTAGTGAGGTTTTGTAACTTGCTACAGCGGTATGAAATCACCTAATGAGCACTTTTGTCAATTGTTAATTCTGCCCAATTTTTAAAATTAGCCTCTGTCTGACATAAATTTTTACAATTCATGTACTCCACAAATGACTTTCGTTTCTGAGTCACCATGTTTCTGATAAATCCCCACTTCTAGATTTTCCCATCTTCTTTCAGATAAGGTAAATTTTTATATGTATTTTTTGGGTTATCTTCAGTTGACAATGGTTAAGAATTCACAAGTTAAAGAATCAGTTTATACGGATGATGTTTCTTAAAGAAAACCATTTGCCTGGAATATTATCAATATGTGACAGGTGATGAAGGTTACCACATGAAAATTACTGATTTATTAGCATCACACAATAAAGATTAGAGCTAAACCTAAAGTTAAGTGAGCCAGTACATGTTCCGGGATAATAAGACCAACTGTACTTGAAATTGTAAGAAAATGTCAGTTTGTGCCTTTAAGCTAATTGCTCTTCTTTGCTGCCAAGTATAACAAAAATGCTTTGTCAAAGTCATAAATCATGCTACCACTTCATATACCCGTGATCCTGATGGTTTGTGTCTCTGTTAAATAAAGTTGCTCCTCTATGTCCAAATTCAATCCATCTAAAACTATAAACTGCATTTTGGTGTACTAATTTACCACGCAAAATCTTTCAAAACAAGTTTCTGATTTCCGTGGCTGAAATCTAAGGTTTTTTTTTGTCGCTTAGTCTGAAGTGCTATGTGATTTAGCCTCAAGCTAGAATCTATTCTTGAATGGGGAGACCAAACAATTTAAAAAAAAATCAGAGACAAGGCTTCCAAAAATCAGTTAAGGATTCTTATTCAGATCCAATAAATATCTTTAGGTAGCGGTTATAATTATTCACTGAGCAGTTGAATATAATCCTAAGACTATAGAAATTCTGTATTATTTTGCTTTTTTCCCTATGTTTCAGTTATACTCTTTTAAGTTTCTTACAGTATTCATTGGTAAGCAAGGAGCCTGACAGTTTCAGTGTAAAGTCAATTCTCCACAACAAAAAAATGAAAACCAATATACAATAGTTTCAAAGATAAATTGCAATAGGAGTCCTTAATTAATTTATCTATAGTTCTTAAAAGAAAATACCCCGATAATTTAAATTCAAATTAAGCTGTTTATTTGCCCTGGAAGATGAAGTGAAGGATTTAAAAATAAATATAATGATGAGTAGATTGGAATGACAAGAATAAGAATGAATTACACAAATTAGAATACTGAGGGGGTATAGAAGACAAGAAACAAACTTTATATGGTTCATCTAGCTCACCTTCCTGTTTAGCTACATCTACAAGGCACACTTAGAGCTTTCTTGTTTTGGTGTCCAAATACCTCATCTCTGCTTATCTGACTCAGGAATGTCTCCTTTTTAATTGCAGCAACCAAGTTTGTATTCACCGCACTAGGTGGCAGTCTATTTCACATGTTGTCAGAGTTATTCCTTAAGGTAATTTTCACCTCAGGGTTTCCTTGTTTGTAATTATAATTAGGTCTTTTCTTACATCCATCTCATTGATCCCTCATGATTTAGTTACTTACTTGATGATAATTCCCTATCTTAATTTTTCTAATGTAACAGATATAACTCTTTTATTTAGTAGGTCACCATTTACTATCCTGCAACTTTTTTTGTTGCCTGTTTAACTGTGGTCTTACCAGTGTTCCCAGACATACATTCCTCAATATTGCATTTGTCTTCGTACTTGCTACCATGCAACATAACAACATTTCCAATGTTTTGGCAACTAGCACTCGCCGATGCAGTTCTGGTACTCTTGGGCACCTCCCGCGTAATTGGATTTTGCCTACAAAATATGCAGTCAATTCATTTTACAGTATATTCTGTGAAGCGCGCTGAGAATCTACAAGTCGTGATAAGGCGCTATATCAAATGCGAGGATTATTATTATTTCTTTGACAGCAGGTACGTGTGGAACCAATGCTCAAACCCTGAGAAGCCGCTTCAAAGCCCTGCCCTCTGAACCCTCAATTCCTGTGACTGGACAGGCGAAGGGAACCTGGTGCTTTGAGCACTTTCCAGTTCATTTTAAGGCACTTTTTTATGAACCCGGGGAATAATTCACACGTTGACGCTCCTGCCGACAAACACACGCACGAACGCTTTCCGGTTTGGGATTTCCCAAGCTCGAGTTCAGACGAGCCTATCCATAACAACAACAACAAAATTACGTTTACATAGCGCCTTTCACAAGAATGGTAATGTGGGACATTGATGATGAGGAAAGGCTGGAGAGGCCGGGATTATTCTCATTGGGGAGCAGAGAAGGTTAGGAGGAGACCTGATAGAGGGCTTCAAAATCAGGAGGGGATTTGGTAGGTTAGAAAGGGAAAAACTGTTCCCACTGGTGGGTGTGTCGGTGGCTCGAGGTCACAGATCCAAAAGAGTTTCAAATAGGGGAGAGGTGAGAAGAAATTTCTTCGCGCAGCGAGTTGTTGGAATCTGGAACGCGTCGCCTGGAAGGGCGGTCGAGGCCGATTCCATGACTACTTTTAAAAACCCGGTGGACGGGTATCTGAGGAGGACGGGTTTGCAGGTTACGGGGAAAGGACTGGGGAGTGGGACTGACATTAACTGCTCTGTTCAAAGAGCCGCACAGACTCGATGGGCCGAACGGCCTCTTTTTGCGCTCTACGATTCACGCCGGGACCTACGTGTGGACGGAACCTGGTACTCCTCCCGGGCTGTCCCGTCAAGGTGGAACCGTCCACCCCTCTGACGTCGTCTCGCTGGAGTCCGCCTCGCTCGGCCGCGATCCGGACGCTGCCCGGAGCGGAGTCCAGCCGAGCCTGAGCTTGACGGGCGGCGGTCACCCCCGACCCACCACCCGCGCTCCCACCCCCCCCCCCATCCATCCCCCATCCCCCACCCCCGGCTCGGAGTCAGACTCGGCCACTGTTAAGCGCTCTGATGACGCCGCCCCGCGTGGCGGGCACTGCGTAAGTGCGAGGTGTCGTTGCTGGAACCCTCCCTCCCCCCCCCCCCTCCCCCTTCGCCCCTCAGCCTCCTTCAAGACCCTCCTCTTCGACCGCGCCTTCGGCCACCCTCCCCTCCCCCTCCCCTCTCCCACCACCCCGCGCATCCCCAACCCCCAGCCCTGACTGTCCGGCCCCTCGGGGCGCCCTCCCCACGCGAGGCGCCGCGGAGATGTCATGTTGTTGTTGTTGTTGTTGTTGATGATGATGATGATGATGAAGGCCGGGGGTGGGGGGGGGGCGGGACTCACCTTCCTCGAACTCGGGCGCCTTTACGGCCGCTTCCCCGCCGTCCACCTTCCTGACGTACTCGAGGAGGAGTTGGTCTCTCTCGGCCGCGGTCGGGGCGCTGCTCAGGGCCGAGTCGAGCCGGACCTGAGCCCGAGAGCCGGCGGCCATAGCGAGCCCCGGCCTTCCCGCCCTCCCCGACACACTGCCACTCCCTCACCCGGCGCCGCACATTCGCCACAGCCACTGAGTGGGGCTGTCAAACTGTCTGTGTGTGTGTGTGTAGGGGGGGGATATGTGTGTGGGGGGGGTGTGAGGGTGTGTGTGTGTGTGGTGTGTGTGTGGGGGTGTGGGGGGTATGTGTGTGGGGGGGGGGGATGTGTGTGGGGGGGATATGTGTGTGTGGGGGGGGGTGTGTGTGTGGGGGTGTGGGGTGTGTGTGTGTGTGGGGGGCTATGTGTGTGTGTGGTGTGTGTGGGGGGGGGTATGTGTGTGTGTGGGGGTGTGTGTGTGTGGGGGGGTGGGTGGGTGGTGTGGGGGGGTATGTGTGTGGGGGTGTGTGGGTGTTGTGGGGGTGGAGTGTGTGTGTGTGTGGGGGGGGTATGTGTGTGTGTGGGGGTGTGGGGTGTGTGTGGGGGGGCTGTGGGGTGTGTGTGGGGGGGTATGTGGGCTGTGGGGGTGGGGGGAGTGTGTGTGTGGGTGGGGGGGGGGTATGTGTGTGTGTGGGGGTGTGTGTGTGTGTGTGGGGGGGGTGTGTGTGTGGGGGGGGTGGAGTGTGTGTGTGGGGGGGGTATGTGTGTGGGTGGGGGGGGGAGGTACCTGGACCTTAACCTGAACCACTTCAGCCCTTAAAGGAGAGTCAGAGTCACAGAAACACAACGGCCCTGAGAGCAAAACCGCTCATTCTGACACCTGCACCGAACCCAAATCCACCGACACACACACATATATGCGTATGTGTGATATATGTACAATGTATGTACATCTATATGTATATATGATGTATGTACATCTATATGTATGTATGATGTATGTACATCTCTATGCGTATGTATGATGTGCGTACATATATGTGTGTAAGTATGATGTGTGTAATAATAATCCTTGCATTTGATATGGCGCTTTTTCACGTCTTCTCGACGTCTCAAAGCGCTTCACAGAATAGACTGTCATGTGAATTGACCGTATATTTGTGTGTCCATATAGGTGTACGTACGACGTATGTATATATGTACGAGACACACGTGTGTATACACACACGGGCGCCCTTGTGAGAGTGAGAGAAAAAGACATTTTTTTTTAAATTAGCCCACGACAGAGGAAGAACACCTCACACAGAGGGAGGGAGAGGGAGAGAAAAATTAAATTAAAATAAATTAAAATAATTTAAAAAAAAATTTTTTTTTTTTTTAAAAAATATATATTTTTTTTTATATAAAAAAAAGATGATGAAGACCAAGAATTCTCTCCCAATATCTGTGTTTGTTTTCGGACGATTTGCTTTAACGTTGGGGATTATTTTCCCGCACGAAAGGGAGAGGGAGAGAGAGAGCTCTCGGGTGGCGAATGTGCTGGAGGGAGTGGAGGTTAACGCGGGTTCCAACGGTCGCCGGGCGGCGGGAAGGCGGGAGTGCGGTGGGGCGCGCGCGGGCGCCATGTTGGCGGAGGACGACGTCTGGGATTATCGGCTCCTCCGGAGGTCGGTCAGACCTGCCGGGCCGAAGGAAGGGTCTCCGGGGAGACCGGCCGGAGCCCGTGCGTCTCCCCCGGGAGGAGGAGGAGGAGGCCGCCGAGGCCGAGGCCGCGGTCGGGCTCGTCGGCCCCGCTCTCCTCCTACGGCCGCTCCCGACCCGAAAGCCGCCCCTTCGCCTCAGCTCCCGGGCCCCGAGGAGGGACGGACCCCGGCGAAGCGCAGGCCGGTCCACAGCGGTCACTGCCCGCTCTGCCAGATGCCCCTGTCCCTCCTGCTGGTGCAGACCCCCCGGTGGCACGTGGCCGAGTGCGCGGGCCTGGAGGCACCGGGCGGCACACGTCAAGGTCAGTCACGTCAAAACCGGGTGCAAACCCGTCAACCGGGGGAGCCCCCCCCCCCCGGAGCTCAGTGCTGACAGCAGTTGGCCCGGCAAACCGGAGGGACCTGGGCTCGGTTCCCAGCACGTCAGGGCGAACCCTTGGGCAGACGCACCCACACAGACACCCCCCCCACACACACAACATACACACAGACACCCCCCCACACACACACAACATACACACAGACACTCCCCCCACACAGACACCCCCCCCCCACACAGACACCCCCCCACACAGACACCCCCCCCACACAGACACCCCTACACAGACACCCCCCCCACACAGACACCCCCACACAGACACCCCCCCACACAGACACCCCCACACACACAGACACCCTCACACACACAGACGCACCCACACAGACACCCAGACACTGCCCCCCCACACAGACACCCCCCCACACAGACACCCCCCACACAGACACCCCCACACACACAGACACCCTCACACACACAGACGCACCCACACAGACACCCCCCCACACACACAGAACACACACACAGACACCCCCCACAGACACTCCCCCCCCACACACACAGAACACACACACAGACACCCCCCACAGACACCCCCCCTCACACACACAGAACAACACACAGACACTCACACACAGACACACCCACACACACAGACACACACACCCACACAGACACACCCCCCCACACACAGACACACACACCCACACGCACACGCCACACAGACACCCACACACACAGACACCCACCCACAGACACACACACTCCACGCAGACCTGATAATAATAATCCCTCAAGAAAAAAACAATAATAATTTGGTTACTTCAATCCACGACTGTGTGCGCGCAATTGGCTGCTGTGTTTGGCCCACAAAATGCACCATCGCTTCACTTTACAGTATATTCTGTGAAACGCTTTGAAGATATGATGAGGCACTGTATCAAATGCAAGGATTATTATTGTTGTTATTAAAGCGTGTATATATGAGCATATATAAATGTACATCACAGCAAGTATATATATGACTTGCCATTCTGATGTTTTGGGGGGGATTGGTAAACCTGTAGGTGCGGATTTTTTTTCATCAAATACAGTCACTACACTTTAGAGTATATCCTGTGAAACGCTTTTGAGACGTTGCGTTTCCACAACGCGATATGGCACTATAATCGTAACATAACTACAACGACTTGCGCTTATACTGCGCCCTTCACGCCGGCTCGCGGTTGATAACTCCAGACACCGTCCTCCGCCAAACGGGCCCGTGCCAGCGCCTTCCCGCCCCCGTCTCTTTGCCAGGATTATTATCCTAATATTATAGGTCAGCAAAACCAGTAATGTTTAGAAACTGAGACTGAAAACTCTTCAGTAGGTTAATCATTTGACTGAGAAAAATAGATCTAACGTTTTAGGTACCTCAAACCGGACCCTGCCCCCCTTCTTAAGATGCTGATTGACTTCTTGTGGATTTTTTTAGCTTTGTATTTCTATTGTTATTTTGTAAATCTGGCTCATTAAAAGCGCTTCTAAGTGTCTCTGAGTCACAAGGTTGTCGGGTTGGGTTCAAGTCCACAACAGGACATTGAACTCAGTCCTTTTGGCTGACACTCCAGTACAGTGTTGGGGGAGCACTGCATTGTCAGAGGTACCGTCTGGAAGTTCAGGTGGATGTTAAAGATCCCGTGGCACGATTTGAAAAGAGAAGAGAGTTTCTCCCAGTGTCTTGCTTTCTGTGCTGTGAATTTCTGTGGCTCTGTATCGCACGCAAGGGTGATTATTGTTATCAGAATTATTCAAATCTGCCTCAATGACTGAGAATGAGAAAGCTTTTATATGTAACAAAAACAGAGACAGCTGGGAAAGCTCGGCAGGTCAGGCAGCGTCTATGGAGAAAGGAAAGTGAGTCAAGTCAACGTTTCGGGTCCACGACCCTTCGTCAGAACTCAGCAGAACTGACGAAGGGTCGTGGACCTGAAACGTTGACTCACTTTCCTTTCTCCATAGATGCTGCCTGAGCTGTTGAGTTTTCCCAGCTGACTCTGTTTTTGTTTCAGATTCCAGCATCTGCAGTATTTTGTGTTTTGTTCAAGCTTGTATATGTTGTTGCAGCCAATGCAAATAAGTCAGCAGTCATGTGCTGTTCTATATAGTTTAGAACATGGAAATGAAGACTAAATTGGAAGCACATTTTGCTAAGCAGAACTGTTTATTTTAGATAATCAATTACTGCAAATCAAAAAGATTTTCTCTGGCATAAAATTGATGGCTACCTACTGCAGAATGCTATGGACTATGATCTGAAAGAAAATCTACAACATATCCAAGCTTCCATGAATGCTACAAGATTGTTAGAAAGAAGTTGATGATATTGAATGGGTAGCAGGTGGAAAAAAAATTGATCTACAACAAAGGACCAAAGTAAGCCACAGACAACTAACAAAGATGCTAGAAAAAGACACTCTAATGGCCTGAACGAACAATGACATAGCAGTTCCACCTGCTCCTTGAGGGAGACATATCCTCAACAATCTGGCAAGTGTAAAATGTACACTATTATTTATTTACTTGCCCCCACAACCAAAGCAGTCTCCCCTTTTCAGTAAAATGTAAAGGGTTCTGTGCAAACTTTGAACAGAAAATACTCCCCCCGGACATTTATTGAACTGTGTGTAAAGTCATTCATTTGAATAAAATTGTATCCCTATTTTATGGATGTCATTGAAATATATAAAACTATTTTAGTATCAGCACTATTCTTTCTACCTTTCCAGTGAATGTGTACTCCAAAACACTTCATGAAACAATGTTCTTCATGTCTCCGCAAAGAGTTGCTTTTGTGCATCTCCACTGAGCAAGGCATTCTTAAGGTTAAACACATTTTGAAGACCAGATACCAGACAGCCAAGAACATTGAATTCTCAGATGAAGGGGAATCATTTACAACCTCTAAAGATATGCATCCCTGTGGCCCAATCTGTACTATGTAGCTAAATTACAGAAAGTCGCTTCATTTACCACACGGACTGTTTTGGGGTACAGCATACACATTTTTATTGAAATATTTGCAACTAGAGACATGTTGGCCTAAATTGATGAATGTTCTTATGCCCATCTATGCTCTCACTACTATGTTAGAACTTGATGGAGAAACTGTTTTATCACTGAAGACGGGATAAGGCGTTATATCAAATGCAAGGATTATTAATATATTTGTATTTTCTTTAATATTTCAGTGTTGAATGTGCGTAGAAGTGCTGTGGCATTACAGATGTTGCACTAACATAATTTTTTCAAGTATCGTATTAACTACAGTAACCCGGATTATACTGAAGGAAATCACATTGCTATCATTCTATGTATCTTGATTTTTGCAAGCTGATATTTGATTCACTTTTAATTTTTTTAGTTTTTGAGGAAAAATAAATGAAGTTTACTTTCTAACGTTTCAAGTGTTATTTGGCATGTTCTGTGAGATACTGGGGGAAAGCTTCAATGGCGGGAATTTTAGTCTTCTGCTATAGGGCAGGTCCAATCAACATTTAAGATTTCAGTTTTGCAGTAGAAGAAAATTTGTAAGCTATAGCTATCACTATAGTAATTTGGTCTGCCTCTCAACATTAAGCCAAATAGAAATGTGAATCTACCAGTGCACAACCTAACGTCTTGCGTATTTCAAAGTTCCTAGTTTACGCCTCAAGTTACCTAGCAGTAATAATAATAATAATCCTTGCATTTGATATAGCGCTTTTCACATCTTCTAGATGTCTCAAAGCGCTTCACAGAATAGACTGTAAAGTGAATTAGCTGTATATTTGTGGGCAAAATGCAGCAGCCAATGGCGCACAATAGTGTCCCACAAACAGTCATGGATTGAAGTGACCAATTTATTATTTTTTTTCTTGAGGAATTATTATGAGGCATGTGGAGTAAGGACACTTGCCCAAGGTTTCGCCCTGCCAGGAATTGAACCCAGGTCTCTCACTTGCAAAGCGAGTGATCTAACCACTGAGCTACAGGACTCCACAGTAAGTAAGTAGGAATCTGGTTGTCGACAGGTGGACCGCTTTTCAGGAGTAATAATCCCTTGAAAAAAGATAATAGTTTGGTCACTCAATCCACAACTGTTTGTGGGACACTGCTGTGTGCAATTGGTCCTGCCTTTCGCCCAAAAAATCTAGTCAATTCACTTGTGGAGTCCTGTAGCTCAGTGGTTAGAGCACTTGCTTTGCAAGCAAGACACCTGGGTTCAATTCCAGGCAGGGCGAAACCTTGGGCAAGTTTCCTTACTCCACACGCCTAATAATAATCCCTCCAAAAACCCAAAACAATAATAAATTGGTCATTTTCAATCTACGACTGTTTGTGGGACATTGCTGTGCGCAATTGGCTGCCGCGTTCGCCAACAAATATACAGTCAATTCACTTTACAGTATATTCTGTGAAGCGCTTTGGGACGTCCTCCCGACGTGAAAAGCGCTATATCAAATGCAAGGATTATTATTATTATTATTATTTACAGTATATTCTGTGAAGCACTTTGAGACGTCTCGAAGATATGATGAGGTGCTACATCAAATGCAAGGATTATTATTATCAACATGCTGGTAATTACTGATCAGACTAATGGAGGTAGCTGCTAGGAAATAAATCACCTTGTCACCTTTTGTCATTTCTTGGAGCAGTGGGTGTTAAAGGATGATTTGGTATATTTAAAAATAATGATAGGAATATAATGATTTAGATAGTGGACAATTCTATTTCAAGGAGACATTGCAGAAACGGAACCAAGCCAAACTCAGGTCAGGATCTGCCCTATTAGAGGTGATGTATTAAAGGGATATGGTGATGGTGGGTCACTGGGATGAAGAGATCTGTTAAGATTAGTGCAATAGGTTCAATGGTCTGAATAGTGAAAGTGACTTGCTCTGTCAAAGAGCCGGCACAGACTTGATGGGCCGAAAGGCCTCCTTCTGTGCCGTAACATTC